TTTCAGCACACAAGCTAAGGGGAATATTTCTCTTTCTTCAAAATCGACCCACAAAATTCTAAATATCCAAACCCCTCAATTTCTGCACTCTGAAGCCAGGAGGACAGAAACAGATTTTAATGTCTTAAACACAGAGTGTTCCTCAACCAACCTCAAAGTGAAGCTGTGCCAGGAGAGGTTCAGATTAGATTTTAAAAAAACATTTTTCACTAAAAGAGTAGTCAGGTATTGGAATAAGTGGCCTAGGGGAGTGGTGCAGTCACCGTCTCTGGAAGTGCTCCAGAAGGGTCTGGATGTGGCACCTGGGGATAGGCTTAGGGGTGAATTATTTATGAGGGCCCATCAACAAACTGCATTTTTTGCTGAAAGTGAATTTTTAGAGGTCCCAAATCCTCTCCTTCCACAAGTGTTTTTTGAAAATTTAATTTTTGTCAACAACTGAAACAAAACAACACAAAAAGATGTCATTAAAATCATGACTCTAAAGAAAGTTGCTGTGACCAGAACTAACATCTCAGGCAAGAATAATTCATCTAAAACAAGTAAAATGGAGACCACAGACTTAAAGTAGTTCATCTTATAAACAAATTACTAGTTACTCTTTCTCTAGCCAGGTGTCCTTGCTATAAAGTTTGGATTTTCATACTGATCAAAGCGAAGATGAGTATAGCAAACAAACCTGTTTTATCGGCTAGTTTTCGTTTCTGGGTTTTGGATAACTGCTCCTTTTTCTCTTTTTTCTTACTTGGTGGCACTTCAGGAGTTCCAATTGAAATACTATTGCTTACTGAAGTCTGAGAAGGATAAAAGTGGTTGTAAACATTTTGCATATTAGTTCCATGGATATCCCTGTGTGATGTGATCACTGAACCCGACATACTGAAATACCCTGACTGCCAGAAAGAAGCAATGCTGTCAGCAGCCTGCAGCTTTTAACCACACATAATCAGGGCTGTACTTTTAAAAACATGTGTTAGGGACTGGAATTATTTCAGCTGCAAAGGGCACCTTTTTCACTTTTAAAATTTAAGCATGGAGTGTGATTTAGTCTGAATGGATTCAGACTTCTCAAACATAGCAATCATTGTTTCCTCCTCAAAGCAGATCTGCTGCACCATCATGGCAAACTGTGCTTACACAACCCAAAAGCCACAAATGGACCCAGCCTGACTACTTGAAGACCCTGGAGGTGCACTTTAAAAATCCCAGGAAGGCTGCAGTAAATTGGCACCCCTCCAATATTCAGCAGACACATCTCTGTTTCAGCTTCCTTTGGTTTTGCTTCTGCTCAAAGTCTCTATTTTAATGTTATCCTGTGGGACATAACAGCAGGCTGCAAACATTTTGGTGTAACAGCAAAATAACTATCAAACAGAACAATTATCACCACAGAGCGTTGTGGCACCATATTTTATCACTTTCAGCCACAAACATGTATAACCAATGAACTGATTTACAGCTTAGAGAGAACTCTATAATAATCAATATTTTTTTCAGTTGTAAAAGCACAAAATTAAAATCAGAGTTTATCTACATACCACAGTGTTAACAGGTTGATTTTCCATGAACACCTCCTTATTGTCTTTGGCATATTCAAAAAGTGTGTATGTCATTGCAGTTCCAAGATTTGCTTCAACTTCTACCATTAACTTATCCAATATACTTTGCTTAATAGCTGAAGATCTAAAAGAAATCATTAAACTGAAGTGTAATCTAGACAGATAATAAAAAGCTTTTCAAACAAAGAGTCCCCACCACAAGGCCATGGAGTGGAGCTGTCACAAATACTTACATGGTGTTGTTGAAGAAAGCATCCATCGATATGACTGGTGCTGTTTGTGGATATGTTTCTGGCCAAGAAACTTCTATTAGAAAGGCTTTGGGATCTCCACTTTCACCTATCTGAAGAGGGAAAAAAACCCCAACTTTATAAATCAACAGTTTCCAGTCACTTTCTGAGGATTACAAAGCCAATAAAGAAGTCTACTACTGCTTTTAGACCATCAAAATTCCCTGAGACAACTATTTTGAAAGTTATCAGTTAGAAAATAAAGCTGTTATCTAGAAAGAACATTAAATTTAGGACATCATTATTAACATTTACCCTGCAGTTTTCATTCTAGAAGAAGCAGCAGAAACTCTCAAATCACTTTTTATGGTTAGGGTTTTTTAATTCCTTTGTTTAAAAGCTACTTTGTAATATCTTCAAGCCAAATATTATAGTGTCACATATGAGAACAGAAAATATGAAGCCTTTTCTCCCCCTCACACACCTAAGCACAGAGCAATATGAAAACAAGCCACAAGACAGAGTTCAAATAAGGATGATAATAAACTAGTAAGCTAAGATAGCAAACATAACAGGTAAGAATATCAATATTTATGTCTCATAGCTACAGATATTTTGTTTCCCTGTATGAAAGAATGAGTAGTAAAAGATTTAAGAAGTCAGTAGAATGAACCTGGATTTAAAAAAAACCCCAAAAAATTACAGCCTACTACTGACATACGATCAGAAATAACTGTTTTACACAAGGATTTGGAAGACTAGCACAGTAAGGTTTCTAAAACCACCCAAAATTTTCCCTTATTTGCCTCATTATAAAAATCAGCCTTTCTCTAACTATGCAGAACAAAGTGTGTCCACAAGGGAAGTCCTAATCAAAGTAAGGCTATGGTTCTTCAAAATTAAAAAAATTAAGAAAAAATTGCTGCTTTCTTATTTACAATATCTGCTTCAGCAGACTGGACTAACTGACATTCAAAACCACTTGTTTAGTGGTGAAATAAATAAGACTTTAAATCAAGAATCTGCAACATTTTTTCAAGGCAGCATTTACAGTTCATTTCCCACTGCTGCCAAGAGCAGAAGTGGCTGCATGGTTCACAGGGTTCTCTAAGGAAAGCACTGTCTGTGTGCAGAGCAAATCCTACAAAGCCATACAAATTCTATCATCTCATGCAATTACTTGTGTTATGACTTCTCAAAATACAATTTTTTCTTCATGGGAAAGACGTATTATTGCCTTTGTATGACAACAAGTTTTATTGTATCTGAGTTATCCTAACTTTTGACAATTATTTTTTGTCTAATAAAAATCAGCAACAACCAAAGCAAGTGAAAAGTAAAATGACACACTTTAGGCTTATAGGCATGTCATATTTCCCCTTTCAAAGAAATTAATTTTATTAAGAATGATCCAATCAGTGAAGAAAGGCTGCTTTTACATGGCTGGGATTCCAACTGCTATAATTAATTGAGCTGTTTCTCATTACAATTAATGACATTATTCTTAAGTTATTTGAGAAGTCACAGAAAGGTGATTTTAGATGGTTTCTCCCTGAAACAGGCATATGGCATTTTCAGAAGACTCCCTTCTGTCCCATGGGTCCCTAAGTAAACTTTCCTGGCCATCAAAAGATCTGCCTCAGTCTGTGCCCAGAAGAACTTCCAGGTTTTTAAATTTGAGAAAGCTGGTGAGAATTTCATGCCAGAATCTAGTTGTGCACCTTGAGCTCAGCACTCCCTGTATGTCTCTTCTGACCAGACTGTGTCAGTGCACATGCCCAAAGCATTTTGTGGATTTTCTCTTCAGCAAGCAAACAAGACAGTCTTTGGACAAGAGACAGGAATCTTCTAACTAAGCAGTTAACAAAGGCTCCAAATTTTACATAGAAACAGCTCTATAAATCTCTCCATTTCTGGCCAGTTAGGGTAAATATTACACAGCAGGCTGGCTCCTTCAGAGGACTGGACAGTTCTGGCTGCCCAGGGCACAGACACACAGGTGGGATGCCTGGCTCAGGGATAACTGCCTTGTGGTGCCAAGCAATAGGGCAAGAGGCAACGGGCAGAAACTGACAGACAGGAAGCTCCACCTGAGGATAAGGAAGGATTTCTTTACTGTGCAGTGACTGAGCACTGGAAAAGATTGTCCAAAAAGGTTCTGGGGTCTCCCTCACTGTAGATTTTCAGGAACCGACTGGACACAGTCCTGTGCCACGTGCTCTAGGATGACCCTGCTTGAGCAGGGAGCTTGGACCAGATGATGCACTGCGGTCCCTTCCAACCTCATCCGCTCCGCGATTCTGTAATAAAGCCATGCTGGGGGCAGGTTCATATACATGACACTCTGTGCTATGAAGCACTGTCATACCAAACAGCCTGAAAAAACGCCCTGTGGATCTATCCTTTACTGCACATCGGATACCTCTGTGGCTTAGAACCCCCTGGTATGGCAACTACAAGGCAGCAAAGTAACTGCAAGGTGCACCTTGGCCTTACCCTGTACTGGAAGGACACCGGGCTCAGCTCCCTGAAGCACACGTCTCCCTCGTAGATGGAGCGCAGCGCTTCCAGCTCCATCTGCAGCCAGGGCCAGAGCAGGGGTTACCGACCGCGCTCCCTGCGCCGCACCGTGCCGTGCCCGGCCCCGCCGCCGCCCAGCTGCCCTCTCCCGCCGCCCGCCCGCTCCAGCGGCCGCCGCTTCCCTCCCGCCCCCGCCGCGGGCGGCCGCCCCTCTCCCCGCACGGCTCTATCCCGCCCTCCCAGCCCCGGTTCCGCTCTCCCTCAGGTAGCGGGGGCCGGAACTCACCTCCTGGTCCTCGTTGGCCGCCATGGCCGCAGCTCGCAGCCCCGCTCCCTGCGGCCCGGCCCGGCCCCGCTGCCGCCGGGGCTGGGCGGGCCTGCCTGGCGCGGCCCCGCCGGACTCGCACGGACGCGCCTCCGCCGAGGGCAGCGCGGGGCACCCGAGGCACCGCCCCCCGCCCTGCCATTGGCCGTCTGCGCGTCCCCCCCGCGCTTCCTCCTTCCGCTCACTGGCTCCTTCGCAGTGACGTCCCCACGCGGGCGCTGCTGATTGGTCCGAGGGGTGCAGCGGAGGCGCCGATTGGTCGCTCGCGCTGCCCTTCTGACGCTGCCCGGCGCTCGCTTCCTGAGGCGACGGCCCGCCCAGCGCCGCCTCCCGTGACCCGCGGCCGCTCCCAGCTGGCGCTTCCCGGCTCCATCCCGCCGCAGTGAGCGGCGCTACGGGGAGCACGGGCCCGGGACAGCGGGGCGCTCTTGCGGCCGGCCTGGGCCGCCCTACCCGCCGCCGTCCCGCCGCCTCGCAGGCCGCCGTCCCGGCTGCAGGATGACCCCTCCGTCTCACTGGGACTTCCCGGTGGAGCTGTGCTGCCGGCCCATGGCGTTCGTCACGCTCACCGGCCTGGACGTGGTGTACAACGCCGTGCACCGCGCCGTGTGGGACGCCTTCTGCGCCAACCGCAGAGCCGACCGCGTCCCCATCTCCTTCAAAGTGCTGCCCGGCGACCACGAGTACCCCAAGTGCAGGACGAAGGTAGCGAGCGGTGCCGGCCCCGGCTGCGCCCCGTCCCGGCGGGCTCCCAGCCCGCCGCCCCGGCAGTGGAGCGGCCCCGGGAGCGGGGATGCAGGACTTCCTTTCCCTGCGGGAAGGGCCGGGCTCCCGGCTGCCCGGGCCACGGCCGGCTGGCACCGCGCTCTGCCGGCCCTCGGCCGCCTCTTCCCCCCGTGCTGGAGGGGAAGTGTGGGAGCTTCGAGTCGGGGAAGCCTGTGAGGGCGTTGTGATGGAGCGCTGTGGGCGCGTAGGGAGGCTAGGGGTGCCTTAGCTCATGAGCCACAAGAGAGAAAGCCCATATGGTTTACTTTTTTGAGTACTTGCTGCTCTTCTACATAGCATTAAGGTGCCTTGTAAAATTTGAGCTTTAATGAAACCCAACATTTAACTTTGAAGAAACGAGATACTTAATGTATTCTGAAAAAAACCCCTAACCTAACCTATAAAGCTTTTTTTACTAAACATTTCACTTTAACTGAGTGAAACACAGCAGAAGGAATATCTCTGCTATTCTTTCTGCTTTGCAATGTCAATGAGTTTAACTGTTATAAAACTACATAATTCCATTATGCTGACAAAGACTCTAAACTGGTTTGTCCTTGCACTGCTTTGAAACCATGGTTTTCAACTGAGCCTAGTATTTCACGGCAGTGTATGAGACTTGCTCCTGAACGTGACCCTCTTCTCCAGCCTCCCTGCAATTCTGGTGCTCTTGCTGCTAATAGGGCATCAGGCCCTGATATTAAGCCGCATCCCTGAGCTGTTGTGGGATATGGCTTAATAGGAAGCAAAGGCTTGAGGGGAACAATGTTAAAGGCAAGATGAGAAACATATCAAGTGACAAGAATGTAGAGGATATGCTCTTTCTCCTGCTATAAATGTTTGTGAATGGATTTTGTAGCTTGCTTCAATATCTTCAATATTTTCAGAGGACATCCTATGAGTGGTATATTCCAAAAGGAATCCTGAAGACTGGTTGGATGAACAAACACCTGAATTTGGTTCCAGCACTTGTGGTGGTATTCTATGAACTGGACTGGGATGAGCCACAGTGGAAGGAAAAACAGTTGGAGTGTGCTACTCGAGTTGAAATTGTCAGGTAGATTTTTTTTCACTTGCTTCATAATGTACTGCGAACTAATGCAAGTGTGAATTGCAGAATCTGTTCGCATTCTAGAATAGATAGGGTTTTTTTCTTAAATATAAATTTAGGGGAACTTGAACTTTGCTTTATAATATACAATGTACAGTAAAGAACTTTTTTAATGGGTTATTTGTAAAACCATTACTTATTTTACTTAAGTAAAAGCAGCCCCTGAAATTTTACTTGCTAAACTCAGCACAATTGTTCGGTCCCAAAAGAAGGAAGACAGCATTTTCTGAATGATGGAGCATATTGTGTTGTTTGGGTTTTTGACCTTTGTAGCATTCTTCCAGTGCTTCCACCTAGACTGATATGTTTTTTTCCTGGTTATTCAGAAATAAGAAGTGAAACCTTGACGCCGTGCTGTGTTGTCTTTATTTTAGGCAAAGTTTGCAGGGAAGAAATACCAAAGTTGCTGTGGTTTTGATTCAGAAAAAAACACCATTGCCTCCAGGTACTTGAAAACTCTGTGCACAGTTGTGGAGTTCTCATTTTTCAGAAGGCCCAGTGGACGGAGCTGACTTTGGTTTGTCACATCTGTGGTTCTTCATATGCATTCATTAAACGCACTGTGACTGCAGGAAGGTGTAAGGATAAAAAGAGCATTCAGGACTGTTGACCCTAAACATTTGTTACTTTTATTTCTAACTTCTTCCTCTTAAGTCCAAGTGCATTTTTTGATACATGGTATCAGAGATGGCTTATATGGTAATACATCTGACCTGCTTTCTTGTAAGCAAGTTGCATTTTAAACATTGCTTGAGATCAGGAAAACCAGTAAAAGCATTGACAACTTAGAAGAAAAGTATTTGGTACCTACAGAGGTCTTTTGTCTTAATTTGGTTTTAATCAATAAAATTTTGGAGCCACATGGAACTGTCAAATGTGATACACTTTACATTGCTGTAGAGCTCCTGTGTGCTTTCTAGTGTCTAGCAAACCATTTTTTGTTTTTTGCTCTACCTGCTGTATGTATGTGTTTGTCTTTCCTGGATGCTATTGTATTTCTCAAGACACAGGATATTTAGTTCTGTGACAGATGAAAAACTTACATCATACTTGTAATTTTTTGCTAAAAACTGCCAGAAAGTTTCTGCATGTGTTCTGCTGGATGAAGCGCATAGTACTCTGAAAGAAGTAAGAAAGAATGTGCTCTTGGTTTTATCTTTATTAGATTTTTCAATACTGTTTAGACCTTTTGGTCTACCTAAGGTTCATAACCTGACCTTTAAGCTTTTAGAAGTAGTTTGACATTGCAGCACCACATACCTCTTACTTGTGCTTTCCTTGACTTCACTAGGGGAAGATGTTATTGCATCAGAGAGGGCTGCAGCTTTGTGTAATGCTTGTGACCTTTCTGGAAAATCACTGTTTGTACTTCCCCACACTGATCACCTCGTTGGCTATATTATAAGGTAAGTGACTATAAACCCCTGTCTTGCTCTGTTTGCAGACTGTGGGTTGGCTGACACGGCCCCTGGCCTGCTGGCAGCAGATGGTGAGCACTTGTCTCAAGAGTTAACAGAGCTTACTGAAGGGGCTTTAAACTAGACGTAAAGTTGGAAAGGGATAAAACCAGTTTCACTAAAAATAAGCCTGGGGTCAGCATGCCAGTATTGCCCTAGTGGTGTACTAGTGAGGGCTTTCATTCTGCTGGCTCAGTGGAGACAGTGGATGGAAATCCATGAGTGCTGTGTCCAGTTACGGACACCTCAGTGCAAGAAAGACATTGAGGTGCTAGAGTGTGTCCAGCTGGTGAAGGGTTGGGAGCAAAAGCCTTATGAGGAACTGCTGAGGGAGCTGGGGGTCTTTAGTCTGGAGAAAAGGAGGCTTGGGGAAGACCTTATTGCTCTCTACAGCTTCCTGAAAGGAGGCTGTAGTGGACAGGTTGGTCTCTTCCCCATGGCTTCCCCTCAAGTCATAGGGTGAGAAGAAATGGCTTAAGTTGCTGTAGAGGAGATTTTGATTGGATATTAGGAAAAATTTCTTCACCAAAGGGGTTATCAAGCATTGGAACAAGATGCCTAGGTAAGAGGTTGAGTCACCATTGAAGGTGTGTTTAAAAGACACATGTACTGTGCTTAGAGACAGTAGGAAGGGCTTAGTGGTGGACTTGGTAACAGGTTGGCAGTTACATTTGATGATCTTAAAGGTTCTTTTCCAACCTAAACAATTCCATGGTTCTAACAGAGAATTTGAGAGGTCGTAGGTTGAGATGAATGCTATGTGGTGCATTGATTGTAGACCAGCAGTGAACGTTTTACCCGCTTGCTTGGAATTCCACGCAATTTCATTTCTCTGTGAGGTTGAGTAATGACAGTCAGATGTTGCTTTTAAATAAATATTAGTAGATATCCCAAGATGTTCCCCAGGTAGAGGTAAAGTGGTTTTGACTCTGCTGGTTTGAAATTATTTTCCATACAAATATGTTTTTAGTTTATCTCTTAACAGGCTTTTGGTTTTTCCCCCGCTTCCACTCCCTGTCCATGTAATTCTCCCCTTCTGTTTAAGTTAAGTGACATCTATCTGGTTGCAAATGTTATGTCTGTCGTTTTATACATTTCTTGTGCCTTCTGTTTTGATATTTACATGGACTACAACTTCAAATAATTTAGGAAGGCCTTTCAAAAGCAAATTGAGGAAAGGTAAACACTTTTGTGTAGCTCTAAAAAGAAGGGCTCAAACTAAGGAAATAATGTTTTACAATAATTAGTTCTAATTTTCCATATATTCTCAGGGAGAGAAGGGGTCAGAATCTGAGGTTAACTCTGCTCTCACCCTCATATTTATATATAAACAGTATAATTCTCAACATAAATTAGAGCTGCTATTGTATCCATGCTGCTCACAAACTGCCACTGGAATTGATCAAAGTAAGGTAACCATTACTTCTAGCTTTTCACATTTTTTAAGTGCTAAATTGATTAACAGAACTGGTACTTCAGCCGTTATTTCCTGCATGTGTCAGTGCTGTTGCTTGTGTTCCTCTCCTGGATTCTGATGTTGTTCTAGCTGATTTTACTCCTTACAGCTTGGCCATACAACATATGCTCCTTAGATCCTCCTCAGTCTCTTGTTGCCTTTGGTGTGCTTGTTCTCTTTGTCCTCTCCCCCTGTGAGTTGCTGTGGGCTATTTCCCTTGCTGACAAGTTTCACTCTTACCTCTGCAGCCAAGGTAGCTGTTGGTGTTTGGACAGAATGATGAGACAGTCTGTACCCTCAAAATTTTATTTACTGCTATTTTTTCCTTTCACTCCTACCTGCACAGTAAAGCAAAAAGATGCAGTTCAGACATATTCTGTGAGCCTCAGCAGGGTTTTCTTGTTTTGACTTAAGGGCATCTCTCATCTTTCTATTACCCTGCAAAATCAGAACAGCTTATCCTGAGACTATCTTAAATTAAATACTAGAGTTTGTTGTATGAGAAGTTAGTATATAAAGGTCTCAACTTACTTGTTCTAGTTATTGCTATCCTTTTGGTGAAAGATTTTTGTCTGCAGACTCTTATCCTGTGTGATAACTTAGAGGAGTTTAGTAATACCACAAGGTCCTTTGCCAACGCTAAAATAAACATGATTAAAAGTAACTTATTTTGAAGAACTTAAGAATTTCTTTATTTGGGAGAAACTTTGTGAAACTTATGAGCAACTTTGTTGCAGGTTGGAAAATGCTTTCTATGAGCACGCACAGACTTACTATTATACGGAAATAAGAAGAGTTAAATCTCATAAGGAGTTCTTGAACAAAACCACTCACCAGGTAACGTTACCCTATTTGTGAAATACTGTGCGAGGTATATTGCATGTTAAAACATGAAAATGTTTGTTACTTAAATGTTTTTTTTACCTCCCTTTCAATTTGAGATGTTCTCTCTTAGTATAGGAAGTAAATCTGGTTCTATTTTCTGCAATTTAAACTTTTATTTTGATTGGTTTTGTTCTTACATTTGTCTTTCTCACATCTGCCTTAGAAGAGCTGCAGGGCAAAATCAAGTTCTCGGATAAAAAAAGAAATTCTTCTCATTTATCTACATGGTTTAACATATTTGAGTGTAGGATCTTAAGTTGTGGGATGTGTTTCCCTTAGATATTTTGTACTCAGAGTTGCACTTGATTTCAGTTTTTAACTTTTGCTTTTCAAATCCACTCAGGCACATTGTGTTCTGTTGCGATTGCCAGCTTTGCTCTCTTGGAAGCTGGAATCCAAGTGGTGAACTCCAAACCACAATAAGCTCTGTTGACATAGAGATTTTGGGGTGTTACAGAGCCTCTCCCTTGTGCCAGGGTAACAGGCTTTGAATAGATTAAATCTATTGAAAGATCACTGCTGCATTGTAGTGAACTGTAGGCAGAACTGTTAGGAAACAGTTGCACAGGCACTTTTTCAAGTCAAGTGCTGTATTATGTAAACCTCTGAAGTTACCACCTGTATCTCTGTGTAGGTAGCAAGGTATGTTTGGATGTTTGTGAATGATGTACACTGGTTGTGTTTTCCAGCTTTTGTTTGTTAGACACCAGTTCAAAATAGCCTTCTTCAGTGAGCTGAAACAGGATACACAGAATGCTCTCAAGTAAGACTCATGTTATCTTCCCCCACCCTCTCTACCCCAAATTACTGCTAAGGCATAAACTGACAAATATTTTCCTGAATGCAAAATTACTTAAACGTGTATGTAAGGGGCAAGTTCTTCACTGGGAAGAATGCTCTGGTTGGAAGGCTGTTTTTCACTGTTGGCAGTCCTGTTCTAGTGAGATCAGATTAGAAAAGGACTGATTTACATACACACTTTAAATGTTAAAATATGCAGTATAAGGACTAGGTGGCTTTACAGTAATTTGCTGATTTTGGGTAGATTCTTAAAAGCATGGGGAAAGATAGTTGTAGTCTAGAATTTCCCTTCTAGGGGCATACAGCTGCCTGTGAGGTAATAGAATATGTGAGCGTGTTTGAGTTGAAGCTTGCACTGCATATTGCTCATGGTATAAATTGTTCCCTTTGGCCTGGACAGAATTCCAGTTTCATGGATTTTTTCATTGTCTTATGCAGGCTTTGATCTTTCTGATCCTGAAAAGGAGAAGATGGGGATTTTATCCCTACAGCTAAAAGAGAAAAATGTTCTTCACTCAGTAAGTTTTATTTAAAAAAAAATTTAAATCTGTTGTTTTAACATGACCCTATGTTTGCATGTATAATGATATTGGTAATGGTTTTGTCCACTAGGAGCTAATAATCACTTTGTTGAGTAATGCTGTCGCACAGTTCAAGAAATACAAATGTCCAAGGATGAAAAGTCATTTGAGTGAGTACAGATAATCAGATGAATTTTTTTTAAATTTACTTTTGCAAAGGTTTTCAATAGTGATCTGGATTTTTTTTTCAGTGGTTCAAATGGGAGAAGAATATTACTATGCTAAAGATTATGCCAAAGCTTTGAAGTGAGTATCATTCATGATTGCTTCTTTTACGTGCTGCCTTCTCACTAGGACCCCATGTCTTATTGCTATGGAATAATGTTGGAAGCTTGTATGAGATGCTCCTTGTATCTGGCTGTGATTGAAGCACAGCCTATTGAGTCTATGAACCCCCTTTATATTAAAGAAACTAAAACAGATGAGTCAGTTATTAGAGCATAAAAAACTTACTGCTCTGAGCTGTTGTTGGAATTTGCCATATTGGGCAAACTGTCTAACTCACACTCACTGATTGAGTTCTGTCTGTCTCTTGTTTGAAGCAGGAGAGATGTATTTGCTTGTTAGTAGGTGACTGGACTTTACATGGAAGAGAAGATAGGCTAGGATAAGCAGATCAATTTGTGTCAAGTCTGATTGTTCTATGAGCAAGCATTTTTTGTTTATGTTAGGTAGATTTTTCTGAAGTAGGCAGAAATTCTTGTCTTAAATAGTTGAGAAGAGTTTAAAAAATTACTTCTCTGATTTGCGAGTAACAGCAAACAGTGGTCAGTATTAGGAACATATTAAGGTGTATGGTTTTGCCTGAAAAAGATTGATGCATATGTTGTGGACCTTTGAAACCCTTGAAGGGGGTTAGGAAATAGGAAATAAAAGAAACATCTTGGCTTAAGGAATATTAAATTTCTTCAGTTTGGAAGGGGACTTTGTTGTGGGGGTTTGGTTTGTTTTTCTAAATACTTACTGCATATTCAATAGTAAGGCATATATTTAATGCAGTATTGGACTAAGACACTTCTGTCCAGTTGCTGTTTTGCTGGTTCTTTATGTGAAGACAGATGAGTTTTCTTGTTGTTCTCTTGTGAAAATATTTGTGACCGTGATTTGTTTCCTCTCAACTTTGTTGTGTTGCAGACTGTTGGATTATGTTATGTGTGATTATCGCAGTGAAGGATGGTGGACCCTCCTCACTTCCATACTGACAACAGCACTCAAATGTTCATATCTGATGGCCCAGCTGAAAGATTACATCACATACTCTTTAGAGCTACTGGGCAGAGGTATTCTTCTCTGAATATTTTGAAATATGACAAATCATTGTCAGACACAGTGCTTACAGTACTTCAGATTATTTGACTACAAAATAACCATGTACTTGTGCTGGATTTTCACTACTTTCTGTGCTACACTGGGAGTTGAGTTGTCTTTCTTCTATTATAAAATTCATTGTGTTCAAATAGACTGTGTCAGGATATCTGAGATGCAGAGCTTCATTTGAGACTGTTCAAATAATGTAACAGGAACTTCTGAGCTTTGGGATGGCAAAGAACAGTAGCAGAGCTAAAAGAGAAACGTTTTTCCTAGTAACATGGATTTTTGAAAGCTAACACAGTTTTCCTGGTCTTTAATATCCCAAATATGCTTCTCCAAGACTCTTTATAGAACTCTACTGATGAAATATGTATGTGGGATGTTTTAGGGGAAAAATGTGGCATAGGGTGGCTCCACAGTAAAAATGCAAGCACTCTGGTCTGTGTATTGCCTGCTCCTTGATATTGCAGAAATAATCCTTTGGGGCCCTATATTGCTAATACTACTATTAGTGCCAGTGGTAATGGGTTTGCATCTTCTTAGAGCTAGCCAGGCTACTCTGCTTTGTATCGAAGAATAGAAAATGATGCAAAACCACCTTTCTTCAAGAAAAGAATGCTTATATTCAGTAGTCCTTGTTTCTTCCTGTCACCTTCTGTGAAAGGAAGGTGACAGGAAGAAGTTTTTTGGAAGTTGTTTTTACCAGTATTATCTGAGCTGGCCTCTTTGTGTGTTCCAGACTTGTCTGTGCTTTCTTCTGTTTTTAAACATAAACAACAAGATGGTATAAGCATTATTCTTCTGAGGCTTTGCTCCAATAAATTACAAAATGCTTATTTAATCAAAAACTATTTTACTTGGTTCCAGTAAAGTAAGAGGAAACATTTAAAATGAGAATGTCCTTTGTTATGGTAGATGGATGTTAGAATTTTTTGTCCTCTGGAATGTGTTATTTGAAAGATGCAATCTGAGGGGAAGATTTTACTGTTAAGTTCAAAAAAACATAGAGACCCTTGCTTCTGTCTTGTAATCTTTGTTTTATTCTCTTTATTAGCATCTACTCTTAAAGAAGATCAGAAATCTCGAATAGAAAAAAATCTCATAAAAGTTCTGATGGTAAGTGGCAGAACTCCTGTTACCCTTTCAAATAATCCTAGGAATGGTCAGTGTCTGCTAACCTTCTTTTATTGTTCTTTGTAATCCTTTGCCTGCATACAGAATGAAAGCCCTGATCCTGAACCTGATTGTGACACTGCTGCTGTGAAAGCATCACAGAAATTGTGGGCTGACCGTGTTTCTTTGGCAGGCAGTAATATTTTTACGATAGAAGTCCAAGATTTTATACCATTTGGTAAGTAAGAAAGCAAATTTACACCAGATCATAAATTTCAATGCAGTTGTACCTTGAATAAACTAATTAGTATGAAAATATGAAGGCTGTATTAAAACTAACAACAGTGTTCCAGCCTTGCTCTGTTCCTTGTCTAAATCAACAAGAGAAGAAAAAATGAGAGAAATTTGTGATCTCTTATCCCCGATATGGATTACTAAAGAATTCCCTGTTTTTTGAAAGACTTCTGATATTCAAGTGTGCTGTGAAGTAGGATTCTGAGGAAAGAGGGCAGAATGTGTGAAAAGTAATACTTGCCATTGAAAAGGGGGCATGCATGACATCCAAGTGTTCAGGACTATTTTCTGCTGGACATCTGCATCTCCTCTCCTGTGCAAAGGTTTTGGCCAAGTGCTGAAAGGTGTTCCTGGAACAGTGTTAGTTGCCAAATTTGTCCACTTGCAAAACAGAGTTGTAAGAGTGTACACAGAACAATTCTTGCCACAATGATTTCAGGAGTGTGCTTCTGGAATGTAATGTTATAGTTTATGTTTAACACCTACTTCTTGTTTCTTTTTGCTTTTTCTTTTCTTTTTTAATTCCAGTACAGTGCAAAGCAAAATTTCTTGCTCCTAGTTTTCATGTTGATGTTCCTGTGCAGTTTGATGTGTACTTGAGAGCTGATTGTCCTCATCCTATCAGGTTTTCTAAGCTCTGCATCAGTTTCAACAATCAGGTACCTGTGTTCTAGCTATCTCTGACCTACTGACAGAAACTGATAAAAAGAATGGAATAATATTTTATTTGTTTTAAACATTAAAAAAAATTAAAAGTTTTTGCCAAAAAATATGTTAATACTTTAGCTGAAAGATGTTTGGGTTTTTAATGCATTATCTATTGCTTTTGACAAATATATTGATACTGGATTAAGACTCTGTTTGATTAGTTCATCTCTCATCTATAAAGCTTGCTAAAGTTTCAGAAGGATCATTTTAATGTCTTATTTCTTCTGATTCATGATATTATATTAATATAATGGATATTTTGTGTCAAATAATTGCAGTGTGATTACTTGCTAGTTTAACTTTGATATTGTGAAAAGTCAGAAAAACCCATACAGTTTGATCCAGTGACACAGAGCCTTAATATTTGCTACACTGCCATTACTCTCTAAAGATGTCTTCTGTCTGAATGTATCAACTTTTTTTCCCCACTTCTCCATTGTAGGATTACAACCAATACTGTGTTGTAGAAGAAGCCTATCAGAAAAGTGATATTCTAGAACAGTCACCACAAGGAACAATGTGCTTAGTGCCTGGCAAAACAAGAAAGTTCTCTTTCAAATTTGTTGCAAAAACTGAAGATGTAGGAAAGAAGATTGAGGTTTGTCCATTTGTTTTGTACCCTTCTTACTGTTACATACAACGAACTCAATCTACAATGTGCCCCTAATCTAGCACCAGTTAAAAAGTCACTGCAGTAAATGAATGATACTCTGTTTCAAGAATTCAGACAAAAGTGAGTGAAATTATTAACAATGACAAAACATGAAGAAAACCATGAAAATTGAAGAATTGTTTCAAGAAAGTTTTATATATATTTTTAAAATATGTGCAATACTTAAAAAGTGATGGTATAGTACTATGGGAGGGTAGGAAATTGCAACTTATCACACTGCTTGCACCTGAACATGGATACTTTTTCCACTGCTGTTTCATTAAATGAAATCCTGGGTTGGTGAGGTCCTCAGTCTCCAAGCTGTCAGAAGCTTTTTGATGGTACATGTATTTATTATGTCTGTCTATGCTGGAAAGCTACATTCCTATAGCAGGTGATCAGAAGACTCACCAATAGTGTTTAAACTTGTGTCTGTCAGATCACTTCTGTGGATTTGATCCTGGGAAGTGAATCTGGCCGCTGTGTGATTCTGAACTGGCGAGGAGGAGGGGGAGATGCTTCCTCATCTCAAGAAGCATTGCAGGCAGCACGGTCCTTCAAGCGCAGACCTAAGCTTCCAGACAATGAGGTGCACTGGGACACTTTGACAATTCAGGCAAGCACGATGTGAGTAACTGGGGTTCCACACTGGTCTTTTTTTATTGAGTTGTTCCCATCATGTTGTTTTTTGGGAGTCTCACATCTCTTAGTTTAATAGGCCATCAGTTATGGGAACTTTCTTATACAATAGGGTGTTTTAGCTTCCTTTAAACTAGGCTTAAAAGCAAGTTATTTAAGAAAGATACAATAACAGAGTCTTTTCTCTTAAAGGATTATTTCTAGAGTGCCGAATATTTCCGTTCAGCTCCGTCATGAACCTCCTGCCCTGACTAATGAAATGTATTGTTTGATTGTGACAGTCCAGTCACATGAGGAGACAGTGGCCAAAGATGTCAAGCTAACAGCAGGTTTAAAGCCAGGTATTTGGGGTTACTTTCTTTAAATCCAGTAGTCTCATAATTGACTCCTTTTTGTAGATGTAATGCAGAGAAATACTGTAAACTGTTTTCTCGCAGTAATTAAAAGCCAAACCAAAGTGAAAGTTGGGAATGATGAAATACCGGTGGTAAGAACAACAGCTAACAGACTCATTCAGTTATGATTAACCACTGCTTGTCTGTGGTGCTTACATGGGTATTTTCAGAATATAAATCTTTACAGGTTTGAAAGAAAACATGAAAGCTTTTATATTCTTTTCTGACTTTTTATTCTGTTTGCTTGTAACTAAAGTTTTCTTTTCCCCAGACAGATCTTTTTCTTGCTGAGCTGAAAGCACTAGGCAGTGCTAGATAAATGTTTTCTAAGTATAGACTTTGTGGGTTTTCTCTCATACCCACCCTGCTTTTTTTTGTTTTCCCTGCCCTGGACAACATGGTTTGGTTTTTAAACTGCTTGAAATTTGGAGAACAGTGGAGCACTGAAGCAGTATTTCTTAGAAAGCAATGGAAAAAAATGCAAATATTGTATGTCTGAGTCCTAGCTATCTCTGTGTAGATATTGCTGACAGTTTTCATGTGTGAAGCCCAAATATTATACTCAGTAGTCATCTTTGTAGCAATTATCCTGAAAGACAAAAGTATTTTTTAAGTCACTAGCATATAGGATGCCATATGTTCTGTGTATTCTGAACTAGAACCTTGTTTTCTATAGAGTTGTATGGTTCATTAAAGTCACTGGAGTATTCTTGAAACTTATTTAATTGGATGTTTGGGCTTGGCTCCTGAAGCACTGTTTAATAGATGGTCTGCTTTTTTCTTAGTTTTTTTTTTTTTTCCTTGCTTGATCTAATCTCTTTAACATGGGATATGCAAGGTCAGTGTGGGTTTGCTGATTGCATTAAAAGAACAATTGAAATCTGACATTTCACTTATAGGGAATGTGATGTATTTTCCACAGTACTAACTCTTTGGCAAGATGTGGCTTGTTTTGCTTTGAAAATTATCCCGTGTAATTGCAGCAATGCCATTATTCTAGTTAAGCTCTCACTGAAGAATGGTGTCATTTAACATCTGTACATTTCTTTTTATGTACTTTCAACACTGACTTGAAAGAAAAGTTTTTAAAATACGTGAAATCATTAAACCATGTTCTTGAAAACAAAAGAATCACAGAACAGTGAAACTTCCTTTCTACTTCATTATAGACTATCAAGAAAAACTTGGATCACGTAATCCTGTTGTATTACATAGATGGTAGGGAATATCTAGATATGATTTCTGATTTTTGGGATTTTTTTTCCTGGCCAAGAGAGATGAAACAATAAACTTGCAAGGGTAAAAATGCTTCAACTAGGAAAATTTTGAGGTGTTGTCAAATCTATATTCTGGTGGTACTTTTGAAAGATTCTCTTGACAAAATGAACTGTGTTAATTCCTCATGCATTGCTTTTAGACGATTTTTTTTTTGTTTTAGTTATTGTTTTCATGTTTTAGTGATGTAAGCCTGTGTGGATATGAACACTGTTTTTAATCCTAGGACAAGATGCTAACCTGACTCAGAAAACTCAGGTGACTCTTCATGGAACAGATGCATGTGATGACTCTTTTCCTGCACTGCTTCCTGATATCCCTGTAGGAGACTTGCAACCAGGGGAAAAGGTCAAGGCTTAAAACCTTACTTCTATATCACACTCGAGAAAATAGGGACCAACTGATAAAGACTCCCTTAGACAGACTTCAGTTTACTTTCTGGTATCTGAACCAATAAATTAAATGCTTACAGAATATTTTGCCTACTGTTTACATGTAGTTTAGTATTCCTTTAATCAGACCATCTTTTGGACTAAATTGGAGAATAAGGTATGTTCTGGCTTTGATGGTACAGCTGGGAGATATGAAATAAAGAGGCTAACTTCAACTGCTAATGAAATGCACTGCTTAATGGACAGTAGATAATAGTCAGCAAGTGTGATTCAAGATGGTAGAGGATCAAAGATGCACTAAACTGAAGTCGTGACTAGTAAGTTAGAAGCTGCTTATGTCCTGTATTACACAGTTATGGTTCTTTTTTTATATTGTTAAGTAACAGAGGAGCATCTGGAACAAATCCAGTGAAGCAGCTGGAGTTGTGCTGCTCTGGTTAAAATCATTAGCTGCATGATCCAGATTGTGCATTCTAGGAGATACATTATGGTCACAATATTTCCCATTCTGGTTGCCCTGTTGGACCAAGTCAGATGATTAACAACTTTTGGACAGCTCTAGACCTAATTAATGTAGTTTAGATATAGCTCACACAGTCTCCTTTATTTTGCAGCTGGAAAAACCAATATACATCCGTTGTGGAACAGTTGGTGCAAGAATGTTTCTGTTTTACATTTCTTACTTAATCAACACTGTTGTTGAGGGGAAAGAAATCCTCTGCAGGTGTCACCGGGTAGGTTTGACACACTATTTGCATTTTATCTGGATAAATTTGTCAAATACAAGAAATATTCTAAAAGCTATAATTTTGAGTATCTTAGAACCCTTTCCAGGAGATAGAATAAATGTCAAGTCAGCAGTATGGTAGCCCTTTTTAGCATGAGCAGTTCTATAACTATTAGCAGAAGACAAGTTTTCTATATTTGTTCATAAATATCTTTAAAGATATGTTCTTCCCTGGGGAGGACTTGATTAAAATAACAATTAAAAGTAACTTTATATTAATAATCTTTGACATCAATAACTTAATCAATAACTTATTAAGTTATCAATATAACTTAATATCAGGTTATATTAAGCTGAATATAACTTTTTTTCCTCTATTCTTCCCATCCCTTTTGTTGCCTCTAAAGGATGAAACTGTAACCATAGACACAGTATTTCCTTTTGATGTTGCCGTCAAATTTGTCTCCACAAAGGTATGTGTTTGAAAAATTGTTCATGTTTTAGAATAACAGCACTTTGGAGTCACACACTGTTTAGTTAGAAATAGTCAGAGCTTGTGTGTGTCTTGACAGCTGGAACACTTGGACAGAGTATTTGCAGATATACCATTTTTACTGATGACGGACATCCTGAGTGCCTCTCCTTGGCCTCTCACTATTGTAACAAGCAAGTTACAGCTGTCAGCTTCCATGACCCCAGTAGATCAACTGGAATCTTATGTGGAGAATGGTAAGTTCTCTTAGAGTGTGTTCTCTATCAGGAGGATACTTTTTGCATAAATTGGGAGTAATAAGGGGGACACTTTAAATAATGTTTGTTGATTGATTTGTAAGTGGAAGAAAGCTGCTTAGTACTCTAGTTGCTTGCCAGAATACAACTTGGACAGCAGCATGCTTTGGAATGTAGTTCTGCTTCACTAGGTCAACTAAATAGACTTGGATGATGGATGGTAAATAAAATTCTAAATACAATAGACATGAGGGAAAGCACCTGAAATACTTCTGAAATGCAACTTTTTAGATATCCATATCAAAAGATACTCAATATTTCCAATGTTTCTGGGCCATATATAATTTCTGGAATGCACTTTACCATGTGATAGAGGCAGTATCTAAAGGCCAGTGATCCATGTCCATGATTGCAGTCACAAAACTGAAAAATGTGAAGCTAGAAAGGGTAGGTTAAAAAGAACAACCGGTATTAACCATCTTTTTTTTTCCAGTATTACCACAGTTTAGTAACTTATTATTAGCATTTTAAAAAGTTATCTTGAAGATCTCAGCCATTAAAACTGCAGTGTGTTAGCTTTGAAGTTAAATAAGTGGAGTACTTAAAAGTAGAGCTGATCCAAAATCTTCAGACAAAACACTGTCTTTGCGTTTGTGGCTTCAGGGATGTGAATCATGTGTTCTGTCAGAACTGTGGATGCAGTGAGGTATTCGGAGTGGCTGCCTGACTGTGGGACAGCTGTCCACTCACGTAATCAAGGACTTGCAAGGCTCTACTTCATCTGTTGATTCAAGGATTGCCTGGCAAAAAGCAATTTTTTCCCATATCCTTTAGTCTTCAAACTAGGATATTTCATCTTCAGCTCTGGCACCTTGTGCTTCATGGCTTCTGGCTGATGCTCAGAAAGAGCTAAGTGCCAGGACATGTGAACCCTGTAGGTATCAGATGTTCAGCTGTCCATCTTTTGGTTGATGGGGTTTTTTTAAAATATTAATGATAAATTTTGAAAGACCAAAACCTATTTTCTTAATACTTTTAAAAAATCACTCTCTACATGTAAAGGCACTCTTTTTTTTAGTTTATTTGAGTGGAGAAAAAAGAAAAGAAAAAGTGAGAACTCGGTTTCACTGAAAGGCCAGTAGGTTTTTCTTGCATTCCTTCTCTTCCCCTGCCCTCATCCATTTCAGAGAGAGAGGGGATGTGTCTATGTTCATTTTAATTTTCAAGCATCAGAGGCATCTTATGCTGATGTCTTGGAATCTGCTGTAGAAGTGTAGAATTTGAATTGGCATTATTTTGCTTTTTGTGTGTGGTTATGAACTCTAAATTTGCAATGATTCATTCTGTGTGTACATTAAAGATATTATAATGCTGTTCATGAAGTAAGTGACATAATTGTATATGTTACCCTTTCATGTATTAGAATACTTCCCAATCTATTGGATTTATACATTATGTAGGTATACTTTGCAAAGCACTTCAAAGGCCTTTCTAGCTGAATGTTTGTTTTTGTGTCATATTGCATTTCTAGGCTTGGTGGCTTAGGCTGTTATTATGCTTTGATTTTAAACAAAATCTTGCTGATAGTTGTTTTACAGACAGGTGAGAGTGCCAGTGAGTGCTTTTGCCTTCGATGTCCTCCAGTTACTAATGCTAGTGGAGTGGCAACTGGATGTTATATAATTTCCTGGAAGAGGTAAGCATCTCTTGGCCTTGATGAGGAGAGGAAGTAAGCTGATTTGTTTTAGGAATGATAGTGAGATGTTTGGTTTGGGTTTTTTTGGGAGTGGGGAGGAGTGCAAAAAATGAACAAAAATGTTCTGTATGTTCCTGTAAGAAGCACTGTTTAGAATTTGGACTTTACTAACTAATTACTACTTAGTTTGTATACTTACTTGATACTTTATGTAGTATAATATTCAACATGGTCTGCATTTGACTTTTTCCTGCAGAAGTTCACCTGTGGAAAGTGTACCTGTTGTTAACACAGTCATCACTCTGCCACATGTGATTGTAGAGAGCATTCCCCTCCATGTTAATGCAGGTAATATTACTTTGGCAAGGTACATGTCCTAATTAGAATTTCAAAGACTGCCAAAATTTTTACAGCACCAAAAGCTTCAATTTACTGTAGCAAAATACAGAAAAGTGGTGCTGAATATTACGGAGCTAGAGAAAGAAACTGCCTCAAGGCTTGCTCTTCTTTCCATCCTTGAAGGGAAGAGGAGGTAGGTAGTTAGACAAATGTGTTCTCCTAAAAGCTGTCAATGGAGCTGACATAATTCTCAACATGTGTTATGTGGCAGCACAGAGACTGGAGTTAGATCTGCTGATGCTGCCTTCCCAGTAGGTTTCTCTAGATGCCTATGGCAACAGTTGTTCCATCCACTCACATTCTGTGTGCATCCCAGGAAGAAACAGACTGGAGAGCTGGAGATGCTTGTTGGCAGGTGAAATGTTTCTCTTGTAGCACTTCACCTGCACAAGAGCAGAGGGGGGTTGAAATGCCCACCAAACACACATAATTTCAATGCTTTCCTCTGCTTGGTTTCATTTGTACTGAGATTCTTCCACTATCCTCCTATCCTGTTACACCTTGAAGGAGCTTCCTGACAGTAGCTGATTAGATTTTGGTAAGCTGAAAATAGTCAGCAGCAATGGAAGTGACTTCCTAGTTAGTATTCTTGGGCAGTGTTAGCAGCTGGGAGGTTTGTAACTAGATGTTGAAACATGATACTGAAAAACTGTAATGACTGTAATAACTGTAGTTTAATCTGCTTCTAAAAAATCTTGTCAGAAGGTCTTTAGATGCCTAGTTCTTGTATCTTGTTTTCTTAATGTTTCACTGCTTTTTGCAATAGACTTTTTTTTTTTTTTTTTTGAGTGGAACTTGAAGATGTATTTTGTATTTGAGATTACTTACTTTCTTTCCAAAGATCTGCCATCATTTGGTCGAGTCCGAGAGTCCTTACCTGTGAGGTATCACCTGCAAAATAAGACCAATTTAGTCCAGGATGTGGAGGTGTCTGTGGAACCCAGTGATGCCTTCATGTTCTCTGGCCTGAAACAGGTACAGAATTGTCACATCCACTGATCCTGCTGGTTATCTGGTAGTGAAGAATGTGTTTATTAGACTTACACTGATGTACAGAGAGGATAAACTCATTGTCTTTTAGATGTTTAAAGTATGGTAAATTCTGTCTGGAAGAATATATGAATGCAGACTCCATTTTAAAAAGGGCTAGGTGGAAGCCTGTCTAGGAGCTATGTGTCGTGTCGTTGATGTGTAACATGGTGTTTTGGTATAGAAGCAATAGTTTAACTAGAATTGGAAATTAGTTGCATTCTTTCCAGCTTCAGAAAGTAACTATTGCATAAATAGAAAGTAGGCAGAGCTTTTGGACACAGAACTTACCTATGGTTGTGGCTTTCTTTTCTTCTTTTTCTAAGATCCGGCTACGAATCCTTCCTGGCTCGCAGCAGGAAATGCTGTATAACTTCTATCCTCTGATGGCTGGCTATCAGCAGCTGCCTTCTCTTCACGTTAACCTGATGCGATTCCCAAACTTCACCAACCAGTTGCTCAGACGTTTCATACCGACACACATTTTTGTGAAGGTAAGGCTGTGAGGAGTCACTTGTGTTTCAAGGCTCCCCTTGGGGCTGCTCACATTCTGGGGACAGCTACCCCAGCTGTGTTCAAAGCTGCGTGTCTCTAAGGAGATTGAGATGTCCAACTTGTAACAGGGTTAGTTGCTTTGGAAAATCTTGTGTTGTGCATTGGTGTTGACAGCCAAAATCTTTAGGAAGTGTGTTTCAGTGCAGTATGTATTTCGTTATCACTAGGTGAATGAGCTGAATGTGCTTGTCATGTCCCTGTTTTTCTGTTCCATGTCTGACTCTAAAAGGAGTTTTAAAATTGCCTCTATTTTGAGCATAGTAATCAAATACTTTTAATACTATGATTCATAGCACTTCTGAAAAAAGTGTTGGAGCAACCCATATGACTAAGTTCAGAGACTCTGTAGCATCCCACACCTCCCTAAATAACTTCTAAAAACACATTCTGTCAGTGAATCAGTCTAGATTTTTTTTCATCGGTGGTATAACTCTGAAGACAGTTCAGTCATGCCATGAAAACCAGATCTTTTTACTTTTTAAGAATCATTTAAATCCATTTGCCCAAAACAGTGCTTTCTCATTCCACTACTGCTGTCTCCAGAATATTTTGTTCACTTTTTATTCAGACTCTTAACAAGCAAGGAGCCCAAAGACTTGCTTATATGATTTGAGATGGACTTATTCAGAAATCTGTAATCATGTTTCTAGGAAACTGGCCTGGCGTTATTTCAATTTTGTTTTATCCAAAAGAGATAGGCAGAACTTACTTTTCAAGTGTGCTGACAGTCACTGGCTCTTCAGGACTTCAGGGTGTCCTCCTAAGTAAATAGAAGAGGCATTTTTTCTCAAAAGTGTGGTGTTCATAAAACTTCTGTGGACTCTCAAGCTTCAGAATGCTTTGCTTTTGCTTTGGAGTTGTCAGAACATCAGAGAACCTTATTGTAAAGATGCCTTTTCTTCTTTAGAACTTCTTCCTTGCTCTCTTCTATCTCTAGTGATGTTGCTTAAAATTTCTCCAAGAAGCTGTCAGTCTAATTCCTCGGTTACACATTGATAATAATCAGCTCTCTATACTGCAGTAATGCTCAGAGCTCTGATCAGCCAGGCCTTGTCTAAGCTGTGCAGATGTGTGTGGAGAAGGCATTTACCAGGGCAGTTGAGGAGCTGAGGCCTCTAGGAGCCAAACTGAGATTTCAGCTGGATGTCCTGTGTGTTTGTGCCCCTACTGGAAACCTTCAGAAGTAGGATAAGCTTAATGCTACACTTGGGTACCAGAGCTCGTTGGCAACACAGTGTATTGCAGAGTTAGTTTCCTAGTAGTCTACCTTTTTTGTCTGGGTGTGGGTTTTTTGGTTGGGTTTGGATTTTTGAGGGGAGTTTGTTTGGGTGGCTTGTTTTGTTTTCAAAATTCTCCGTCTTTATTTTCTTAAAGCCTCAGGGTCGTCAAGCAGATGACAACTCAGTTGCAGCTGCATAACTTTGACACCTGTACCTCTGCACTTCAAGAAATGGATGTTGCACAGAATATGTAAAGCTCACTTTGGAAACAAGGCTTTGATCAAACCATAAGAATTAAATTTTATTTTGGAATTACAACTCTTAGCAGAACTAATGTTTAAAAAAAAGCTAGTGTTTCATAGACTTTCTTTAAGGAATAAACACGTGGGGAAATCTTGGTGCTTTATTTAACGGGAGCATTCTTTTGAAGTTAATTTTGAATGTCAAACTCTTAAAGTATTATTGAGGCATATTAAGTGTCTTGAATATTTAAGAAATGCTAATTCATTTGACCAAACCTGAAAGATGTTTTCACAGTTAACAGTGCAAAGTGCGAAGTTTGTATTTACTGTTAGAGATTTACAACATTGAAAATTATCATTTTTTACAGAAGTTTGTCCTGTGCCACTTGTGTTGAAGACAGAGCAGGTCGTGCAGTAGCACTGTAAATTACATTGTGCTATTGCAATTGAGCAGCTTACTTGTCCTTTAAAACCATAACTCTCAAAAGGCACTATTTCTCCTGGGTAAGCCATACATCCAATTTTGAATTCAGCAGCTAGTCTAAAGAACAGAGATTCAGTCATACCAGTTGGACTATCCAACCTGGAGCTGGTGTGGTTTGGGGCTACTTTTACACAGTTTCCAGATTAAAGACATGTCTTGATATTCTCCTGCTGTGTGAATTTAAAAAATAAATATCCTACCATTGTACAGCTCTGGATGAAGTGGTGTGTAAAGTACAGTAAAATATGTATATATAAAAAATTGCATTGTGAAAATTTACATTGTTTAACTTTCTAAATAATTACATTTTGATTGCTTGGGAAATACCTTATTTATTGTCAAAGTGAAGTTCTAATAAACTGCTTGTGACAGAGTACTTCTGAAACTGTCCCTAACTGCATTGCTTTCACAGTTTTTTTGTGACTCTGATCTCACTTGTGGACTGATATATCCATCCGTGGCATTGAGGTCCAAAATAACAGCTGTGATACTTGAAGGAAAGCATGAGTGAAGTCCTGAAAAAACATGTTTGAGGATATACTGTTTTTCCATGGAGTGCAGAGGTAGTTGTACTATGAGGGTTTTTCCAATGTGTAAATGGGGATAAGAAGATGACTGACAAACTGTGCTGGGAAGAACAAATTAAACCTTCCTTGTTCTTTGCTTAAATGTACTGAACTAAGTGGCAGTCATGGAATAGGTATCTTATCTTTCTCTCTTTTGTTTTTTGTTTTTAGAATGGAAAATGTATTTCTTTTCCAGATATTTTTTTCTCTTAAGTAATCACACAGGTTGCAGCAATGCTGGCACCTCTGTTACTGCTTCTTAAAAGACATGTTGATGCAAGTAGTGTAAGTGTTTGGTGGAGAATTGGGTGCCTTCCCCCACTCCCAAAACAGTCTAAGTGGTTTTTCTCCCTTTGAGAAAGGGGATGACATAAAATACTTTCATGGTTACAATGATGTTGAAGTCTTAAGGGAATTGTGTAAATACATTCCTTCTTAAAATTGTGAGTAGTAAGAATAATAATGAAAAAACAGAAATGCAGGCATATATCCCACACTATGGCAAAAGCTTGCTACTTTGCCATAGTCACAATTCCTGTTCTCTCATTCACAGAGGGAATCCTTTCTTGTTTTTTGGGATCTTACTATAGCTGTAAACACTACAAGGCAAATATTTTTGTGTTAATTGTCTCTAAAGTGCTAGGCACACCTTTTATGCTATGTAAATGACTGATGTGAATGAAAACACGCAGCAAGCAGGAGCCACCTTGTTAAAAATGCTCAAGAAGTGATTAATGATGACTATCTTTCTGACTCATATGATTCTAATGCTGAGGGGAATGTTTGTGATTCACTACCCAAATCCCTTTGGAAGTCTTAAGGAGATATATTCACATATATATCAGTGTAAGTGCAATTTTTTTATTATTTACTATATTTTGATAAGCACCATCAACACTTCAATGTATACTACATAAATGTAGTCTATTTTAATTGGAACTAATTAATGATAACAGAAAAGAGAAGCTATATATAGACAAGTTTAAAAATAGCTTTCAGGGAAAAAAGATTGAGATGAACATGTTCAAACTGCTACTGAGCTGGAGACCCAGCCCTAGCACTGTAGTTTCCTCCCCTTTTGTGCTACTTGGTCCATGAGAGGGGGAGAACTTCTCCCATCTCAGTGCTCGGGAAGGGAAGAACATTTCCCATCCTCTCTGATCTGGCCTACAGCAAAGTCTGGAGTGCAGAAAGTATTCTGTTCCTTCTTCATTGCTTCCAACCACTAAACTCTAGTTATAGGAAGTTAAGGAAAAGTGAAGGTTTCAAGGGAAGATCTTAATTTTAGATTCATTTTTAGGGTCTTACATGAAGTATTCTCAGATTGTTGATTTATAGAGGAGTTTGAGGTTCTACCAGCTTCCTTTTTTGATATCCTAATGAACAAGTTGTTTATTTTCTTGCTTTCTCTGTCTTCACCTGGGAGATTGGAAGCCCCTTGGGGGTAAGAATACTTCTGCTAGGACACTCCTTCAGGTTTGAGGTTACTGTGTCTAAAGTAGGAAAAAGAAGAAAAAGTCTCAAAGGCACCTCCTTCCTTAAACCTCCTCTGCTGCTTCATTTTCCAACAACAAGCACCTGCTCCTTTGTGTCTTTTCAGGGAAGAAGTTAAGCTAAAGGAGAGCAACATGGGTATCTTACATTGAAGTTCCTTCCCAATCCTCCTCCAGGGATGGTTTTGGCAAGTGACTTTTAGGGCTAAGAGGAGCAGTCTCTGCTGTATTCCAAGGATTAGGCATGCTACCTGGTTAACTGAAGTGGAGGATAGGCAGCTGTGCAGGACTTGTGACTGTCTTTAGCTCTCTCAGATTCAGGATGCCCATGCAGGGTGCTTTGCATCTCTCAGCTTTCAGTGTATCAGATGTGCCCTGACAGACACTTGGCTTAATGGGCTACTGAGGCAGCTCCTGCTCACCAAGTGGCTTTGTCCCATTGTCCCACCACACTGGGTTGTAAAATAGTTCATGATTATAACATTTCTTACCTCACCAGGAATATGGTTGTTGAGTAGCTTTAAAGTGAGTTGTGTCGTCAATAAAAAATAATGTATATCCCAATTAATCATTGTGCTTAAAGAAAGTTCAGAAAATAAGTTTATATAATGTGTAAAATAATTTCAGAGAGTAGTTTCTTTACAGCTCTCTGCAGGAATTGTTCTGGGTACTGTAGTCTGATAGAACTAGATAAGGGGAAAAGTGGTTTCATCTGCTTTGAGGTTTCTGCTGGAGTAAACCCTAGAGATGAAGAAACTTAGTAGAAGTGTTAAATGCCACCTAGAACCTGTTTAATTCTGCTACATTTAAGGGCTAGTATGTATCTGGGCTACATATCTCTGCTTGCAAAAATCCACAGAGCTGACTTCAGATAAGACTCATTCAGATTGAGACTCATCTAGACTTATTGCAAGCTGTCAAAACTTATCCCAGCTGTTCTGTACTTTTGGATGTCAGCAATCTTCTCTACTGGCAAGAATGTCATTCATGCAGGATGTGACTCCCTGCCTTTCCCCTTGCTGCCAGAGAGGGCTCAACAGGAGTGAGCTCACTGCTTCTCAATAAAATTGTTTGAAGGTCCCCTTCACACTCAGGCAATGTCCTTCCTGCTTGCTTGCTTGCCCATGCCAATAGCTGCTGGCTTCCAGAGGGCACTGGGGCCTTCAGTTTGATGTCCATATGTTATTGTATTTCTTGACATATTTTTTTCTCAAGAAGTTATGCAAATTTTCTCTAGAATGGACTCTGATTTCTGCATTTAGTCAAGGAACTAACAAGTCTCTACCTTTCCAGAGCCCCAGAACTCAACACCTTGGATGTCACATATGCCTTAGCTTTCTGCTTGTTCAGGGCAAAGGACTCCTGGGAAAACCCTTACTTTGTTTCTACAGCAGATCGTGTTGGAACTTCTGGTGAGGTTGTGCCCGCGTATTTCTGTGATTAAAGCCTTCTGTGAGATAGCTCCCTCAGCCTCAGCCTAGGAGTGAATACTGCTTGGCGTTGTCCTACATGGGAACATGCACATGGGGCTGTGACTGTGCAGTGCAGCAGGATGAGGTATGGGGACAGCAGCCTTAGTGAAGCTCAGTTTTAATTTGGGGTAGGTAAGGAATAAGTGCTGCAAATAATAATAGGAATGAATGAGATTTTAGGAAACTAGAACTCTACATGTCTTGGTGTTCTTCTGCCAAAGAGTTGGCAAGTGTTGGAGAAGTAAACTCAGGAATTTATGTATTTGAATAAAAGTTTAAAATACGCAAAGATTTATTCAAGGCAATGTTAATTCCCTGACCTGAACAAAATGTAAACATTTTATTTGAGTTATTTTCAAGAAAATTATGTCAAATTTTCCATGGCAGATCTCTGTATAATTTGCTGAGGAACACGTTACTATGCAAAGGCAATCAAGTTTGTATGGCCATTCTCGTAGGATGTGTTGTAGCAATGCAAAACTATGTTAACTATGCATGTTGGTTACCATTGTCTCAATTTGCCAGTGGGATGGGAAGATCTGAGACTCAGAAATTTATCCCGGAAAGTAAATTAAAACTTGTAGGTGCCTTTTTTTGCCAAAATGTTATGCCTTCTTTTAGAAGTTGCTAAGAAGTATCTGATTCCGTTGGGATGTTCAAAGCTGACCTTAAGGCTGAAGTTTTAGTTAATCTTTCTAGAAGTCTAACTCTTCCTCATCCAACAGTATATTTCCTTTCCCCACAAAAATAATTTTGCATACAGAGTTTAACTTTTCTGTACTCTTTAGCAATTACTGTGGGGTTTTTAATACTTTAGAGTAGGTAAGGGTAAATCTTGAACTTGTAATTTTTTTTCCTTGATTTTGTTTTTTTTTTTGCTAGCAGTATTTAAACTACTAATTTCCCAAACTATTTTAGTAAGTAATTAGCTGAAATATGTTGAATCCAGTTGGTTCTCATTATGTAGCTTTCATATGTGCATACATGTATATGTGCTCATACCTATGTATGCTGGTGAAATAAACAAATTCCAGTAAATAACAATGAATACCTAAATGAGGATAAAATCCCTTATATTTCAGTTCCCTGTCCCACACAGAAGACATTCCAATAGCCTGCAGCTTGGGATAAATTTAGCCTGATTTTTCTTGCGATGCCATAATAGAAATCTTCTTGGCAGCTGTTTTCATGAGCAGCAGAGGTGGGAATGGCTGTCTTGCACCCTCAGCCAGGGGCATTCCAAGTGCCTACTGCAGCCCAAAAGGAAACAAAACCATGCACCTGCTTTACAGCAGCCAGTACTTCGTCCCTCCAGTCTCACCAGCTGTAAACCTGACATAAGCACATAGGTACACATACAGATCTATAGATATATACATCCTCTATTTTGTAACTGACATCAAAATATCCCACCTCAGCATCTCCTGGAAGCTTGGTACTGGGACATATGTGCTCAGTAATGGATTGTTTTCTCAAAATAGTCTACACGTGACTGTGCAAACACTTGTAATGATAAATATCAAAACATATGATAATTATAGAGGGAAGGAAAATAGAAATGTACTCAAAGATATCAGAATGCTCCCTACTTGGTTTTCCATACAATGATTTCTCTGTGCACCAACATTAGGAAGTTATAAAGCAAAATAACTTTATTTTAGTCCAGTTTTCAAGCATCAGCCTCTTTCTAACAGGAAAAATGCTAATTCTTCTCTACCTACTGCAAAATCACCTTATAAGATAAGATGTTTATAAGATATTTTCCTGGCTTGGAGGTTGCACAGAGGTCAGACAAAAGTTATCTTTAGTAAAATCTCCCTCTCTCTTAGGGTCACTGCTCTTCCA